CACACACACACACACACACACACACACACACACTTGTTTCCCTTGGATTTTGCCCCTTGTGTGTAGGGTTTTTGGTTTTTGTCATCGTTCTAACCCTGCCTGTCATTCTTTATCCAATGCCTGCATTCCCTCACTGAAATGTAAACCCCTGGATAACAGTGTTCATGTCAGGGGCTCATTTCTGCCTCCCCAGAGTGAGGCACCATAAAGATAATCAGTCGCAAGTTAAATATATAGTGCATTGGCTTTAAAAAAAATAGGTAGGAAAATGCAGAGCATGTAAAATCACCCAGAAATGGAAATGCTTTGCATATGCTAATTGGATAATCATAAACACCATCACTCAGCATGAACTGCAGGCTAGGCGTCTTGCCAAGGGTGTCTCGCTTAACCTTTATAGGCTGACACCAGCGCTGTCCCTGTTGGACAAAAGGAGAAAAAATAGTCACCACGGAGAAGCACACAGCCACCAAGGGAGGAGCTGGGATGTACACCCAGAGGCTCTGGCATCAGCGAGCATATACTTAACCTCTCTCTCAGGAATGGACTCCATTTGGAGAGCACTTCATCTTCCCAGCGCCCATGTGCAGAGTGTCTCCCCCTCACCCGAAGTGAAAACCCTGCAGAGTCTCTGTGTGCCAGAATCCAGGCCAATGAATAAATGCCAGGGAGGCAGCAAGGTTTCCAGAAGCTCTCTTGGGAAATAGAGAAGCCTACCTCCAAATAATGAGAGCCAAATCGCAGCTACCATTGGTTGCATGCTCAGTATGTGGCTGGCATGCATGTGTATGTGTTTGTGCAGATGTGTAGATGTACCTGTGGTTTTCTCAACCCTCTTGTGATATAAGAACTAGTCCTGGGGCTAGAGAGATGGCTCGGTGGTTGGGAGTTCTTAATGCTCTTTCAAAGGACTCAAGTTTAGTATCCAGCAGCTTACAATTGCCTGGAACTCCAGCACTTAGGCATTCAATGCCTTAGACCTCCAGGAGCACTTACACTCATGTGCACACATCCCCACACAGACACGCATACATAGATACAATTTTAAAATAATCATTTTAGAATCCACAACAAAAAACAAACAGGAAACAAACAACGATTCCTGGGCAGGGAGATGGCTCAGCCAGTAAAAGTGCTTGTCATGCGTGAAGACAGCATGCTTGAGACCTGAGTCCCATCCCTAGAAAGCATGTTAGAAAAAGAAAAAAAACTAGACATGGTGGTGTGCATTAATAATCCCAGCACTGGGAAGGAGACACAGGCAGATTGTGGAGATCACCAGCCCGCTAGCCTAGCATGCTTGGTGAGTTTCAGGCCACTGAAAGCCCTCATCTCAAAAGGAAAAATGGTGGACTAAATGGTGGACTAAAGGAACGACAGCCACGATTGTCCTCTGACCTCCACATGCACACACCTGGACACATGTGAATGTACACAGAATGAACACCCACATGCATAGTCGCTACGACTATCATACTGCTATTGATAAATTTTTGAGAGGCAAGCTGATGTGCCAAGGCTCCCAAAACTGATCAATAGCAGTGAGAGGTTCAGACTGTTCAGACACAGGTTCAAGTCTGAGCTTGGAAATCCCCTCCCAGCTCACTGCTTCCCGAGCTCAGGAACAGCCGCTCATCTTCTTATAGGCCCTTCGTTTCCTGGCAACAGTTGCTCAAGAGGCCTGGAGAACTACCCGGATGTTCCCTTGACACCCCCCCACACTTGGATACCGCTGCCTAAAACAGGTCCTCAGCAACAGCCAGCCACCGCATCACTCTATGCAGCCTCTTCATCGCGGCCCAACCATCATCAAAAATGCCTAAGAACGTAAAAGGATTAGGAAACCGCCATGCACCACCACAAGGGAAGAGAAGAGGAAGAATACAGGCCAGAAATGCCCATCAACAGCAAACACTCGGGCTGAGGAGACGACTCAGTAGGTAGAGCTTGTCCTGCAAGCACAGAGACCCGAGCGCCGTCCTCAGAACCCATGTTTATGGAAAGAAAAGGCAGACAACACCAAAGCTAAGTGGAAAGACCAATTGCTTAAAGGCACCGCACGCTCTGGATGCAGGCCGTGGTGAAATCACACCGACACTGAGATAGAAGCTTCCTCCACGCCTGCTTATTTTCATAATGCTAGAAGTTGCAGCCTGGGCTTCTGGGGGAGAGATGTCATCAACGGTCCTACCCAGATGTGGACCCTTGCATATTAGCAATCCTGACCTGTCGGGCAAAATGTGATCACTGGTATAGTAGTGGCATGACTTTTATGGGGGTAACCAGTCACATTCTGGTGGGATTTCAAGCCTGCCCAACAGGGTAGGCATCCCATGCCTTGCACTGTAAACCTGGTCAAAAGCCATGGCTGCAGTGGTCCACAAGATCTGGGGGGACTTACTACTGTCCTTCTGCTAAATGTACATGGTGTCAAACCGTCTTCTTCACACTCTTGTTTATACCCATAGATTAGTGATGCTCTCAGCCCTGTTCAGAGCAGACAACAGTTAATACATCTCCCCAGTCCCCAAAGAATAATTTTTTTAATTGTTTTACCACACACAAGGTTATGTAAAGTTTTACTTCCAGAGCTGGGGAAGTAGCATGGATCCCCAGGGCTCACTGGCTGGCCAGCCCAACCAAATCAGTGAGTTCCAGGTCAGTGAGGGATCCGGTGTATTAGTTATTTCTCTATGGTTGTGATAAAATATGACCAAGGCAACTTACTAAAGAAAGCATTTTGTTAGGCTTAGGGTATCAGTGGGTTAGAATCCATGACGGTGGAGCAAAGGCGTGGCCACGGGAACACCTGACAGCTCACAGCTGATAGGAATTCCAACCACGCCCCATGGTCGTGCATGCCGGGCAGGACACTTAGTCATCTCCGCCTAGTCATTTCCGGGTCATATGTCCTGCGTGACCCATGCCCCATGGTTACGTGGTCACATAGTCTCAGGGACATGACCATGTGATCTCTGCACATGGGCCTGTGTGTGCAGGTGTGTCCTGGCCTTTATAAGGTGGCACCATGTTCCCCCGTCTCTCTCTCTCTCTCTCTCTCTCTCTCTCTCTCTCTCTCTCTCTCTCTCTCTCT